TTCTTGTGCACAACCACATATCTTTTCTAACATATAAAACATCATAGAGCCCTATAATCCTCAAATGGCTCACCATGATCTGCAGAATAATCTCAGTCCTTGCTTAATTTACCAACTGTATCCTAATACTGGGAAACTTAGAACTTCCAAACTGATTTGCTTCATTGCGACTCTAACTATTGATGGAACTCCTTCCTCTACTAAGGTTACCTCTATTTTTATTTCTAACTCAGAAATATTTATTTATCCTTCAATATTTAGCTCAGTTGCAGCCTTTCTTGTTCACTCTCTCCTTTACCCCTGGTATATTCAGATGTTTTCTTTCAGAAATTCTTATCTGATGTATATATCTCCAAGATAACACATCATACTATTTTCTAATTATTTTTTGTTTCTATCTTACCTAGTAGATTATAAACTTAGCACAGATTTGTATATTCAACATTTATCACAGTCTATTAAGTGTGATAATAATACTCATTGAACTCTTGTAAAATAATTCATCTTTGAATTTTTTCTTCCCTCATGTAAGAACAGGTTCTATCAGTTTTTTGCTCTCTCTTATATTAATAGATCTCATATCATTATATTACGGTAGCTTCCTCCTGGCCAGATTTTCTTCTACACTTAAAACAATGCATATTATAATATCTTGAACTGACATATTTCTGAAAATAAGAACCTCCTATTACCTGCTTCTCAATCAATCATTAATTCTTGAAAAATATTTTTTCATCATATAGCTGCCATATTTATTCTAAAAGTCACAATAACTCCCTAACTACCAAGCATTTTTTTTTCACTTTGCACCTTAAATCTGTTGGTGACATTTGATATTATAAGTCATTCTCTATTCTTGGAACTGTTATTTTTTGTCCCTGATGCTTTAAATATGTGGATCTTTTGGATCTTTGTCATCTGATTCCCTTTCTCTCTCTTGATCACTAATGAAATATTTCCTTCTTTCTACTTATCTCGCATTTGTTTTCTTTCTATTTATCTCAACATTTACAGTATCAGAACCCACTTATTTCCTCATATAACATCAGTGTCATAGAACCCATGTCTTTATTCTATATTTTGTTGTTAAGTCCTTTTTATATTATATTAATATCCCAGGTTCTGAAATAAAATTTTCTAAAAATGATGTTTTCACCTTCTCTTACATGATATACCTTCTTTCACCTCCGTATTTCAATTAATGTCACTGCATTTTCTTCCTCACTGTGACATGAATCTGGAACACAGACATGTCTTGACATTTTCCTTTTCATGATTCTAGTACAGTCAATTTCTCACTCATATAAGGTTTTCCTCAGCATTGTACTTTTAATACTAGAAAATAGAAAATGTATGTTTTCCTTTCTACCTAATTCAGACCCCCTTTCACTTAGCTGTTATCTGTGTGTAATTTATATCTCCTTATATAATTAAACATTTATAATTTCCAACTAATATAAATTAATGATACAATATTCCATTAATAAACGTATAGACTTTTGCAACTCTGTATACTTACTCATTTTTTCAATTTGAAATACTCTCCAACAATTCTTAAAAAATTTTTAAGACCTGGCTCAAAGCCATCATCTGATCCCTTCAGTCAAAATTTCTCCAGTGTCTTAGTCCCACCCATAGTTCCTTTTAAATTCTATGCAATATTATATTGCTTGATTAGTCTTATTGTATATTTGCCATTCCATAATTAAAATTCGTTGACATTTAGATTTGTTATGTTCATCTTATCCTCCTCTATGACTATTGCCCTAATCACACTTTCTTGCTTACTCGTCAGAGATTGTGTTTTGTTTTCCCATAACATTTCTAATACAAAAAAGCATTTCTATCTTGCACATTATTTGAATTAATGAATAAATGAATGAATAAACAATAATTCCATAAACTCAGTCAGCAGTTTGTAGACAGAATCTTGGTATGTCGATTTGAAATGCAGAACAATAAACTACGTAATACCATACCCATAATGTTGCATATTTTTGTGTAAAAGTTAGAAAAACTGGGACTTAGTACTAACTAATGGCACCAAGAGTGTAGAAATTTGGTTCAATTTTGACATTTGAGGGGTGGTCCTAGTAGGAGGTCCCGAGTCAAACTCAGTCATTTCTTTGGCTCCTTGGGTTTCCATGTATTTCCTCCTCAACAGGCACTCAGCTTCTCCTCTCCATTCTCGTAAATCGGGGGCAAATCGATATGGCATTCTGTCTAGTACTGCAAGCCTCTGGAAGCTCGAGACAAATGAAAATTCTTTCTTTCATAAGTAGGTTGTGTTGGGTATTTCACTGTAGTAACAAAAAGCTGATTAATATAAATGGACTTAATGCTATTTTGAAATTGTTAGAATCAATATCATCATTATTGTGAATATTATTTTTAAATCACCTCCATTTACTCAGTGTTTACTAAATGTTAAGCACTATGTTAACAAGGAGCTCATGTGATTTCCTTTCACACAGTCAATTTATAACACCGTCAATATAGAGTACTAGTAGATGGTATGTTTTGTTCATAATTTAAATTTAAGTTCATATAATGAGTAAATAGGGAATTAAAACATTTCTATTGGCTTCAAAACTCTGAGCCCTTAACCAGAGCATCTTACTCTCTCCAACTTTGCATATTATACTCCAAAGGGGTTCTTATTTTTCTTGACACAGAATAAATTGAAATGTTCTTTGTGAGTCATTCATTCAAGTACCATCAGTTGCCCTTTTCCTGATAATGGCATGATTCAGAACTTTTAATAATGATCATAATTAAACAGTGATATCATTGTGCCTCTGTTTTATGAGACAATAATCCAATTTCTAAATGGCTAAACTAGAAGGCCAAAGGCAGAGCAGTTTATCACAGATAGAGAATCAGATTACTGCTGAGCAAAACTGAGAACTTTGGTATTATTACTATATAATGCATGTTTGAGCATTAATAGCCCTCTGTCCAATATTTTAAAATGTTATATTGGCAACCATAAAACAAAAAGGGCGGATGCTGTTTCTATTGAATATATCTGCTAATAGCTTTCTCAATGATGAACAAAACATAACTTCCTTCAAATAGAGTAGAATCAAGATAACCCAGCTGTTTCTTATCTGCTATAATCCTTAAGACATTTCAATTCTCTAAAATTAAGTTTCCATAATTAAAAGGACAGACTTCCTGTCCTTTTATCCAGTAAATAGCAAAGTAAAAAAAAAATTGTATTTACTGATGGAAATAATATGTATGGACTTTTAGGTCATCTTGAATTTTCCTGTACATACAAACAAGAAATACTATACCATATTTGTACCTAGTACATGTTAGGAAAGAGAAGTTTACATATTCTAATCAAAGAGACACTTCCTAATGCTACTCTTTTTCTTCCTTACTACAGAATTAATTTACTAAGGGTACATAGCTTTCTTTCCAAGGATCTGCAACAAAAAGGCTGACTGGCCTGTTGTACCTTCAGAATCATTAGAAGCATTTGCTCATAGTTTAAACACATATGCTGTATATATTAATGTATTTATTTAATAGGCAGAGACATAGAGGCAAAATAAAAGGGGAGAGAGTGAGAGAGAGATAGAGATTTTTTTTTTTTTTTTTTTTTTGACAGCAGAGTGGATAGTGAGAGAGTGAGACAGAGAGAAAGGTCTTCCTTTTTTTGCCGTTGGTTCACCCTCCAATGGCTGCCGTGGCCGGTGCACTGCAACCAGCATATCGCGCTGATCTGAAGCCAGGAGCCAGGTGCTTCCCTTGGTCTCCCATGCGGGTGCAGGGCCCAAAGACTTGGGCCATCCTCCACTGCACTCCCGGGCCATAGCAGAGAGCTGGCCTGGAAGAGGGGCAACCGGGAGAGAATCTGGTGCCCCGACCGGGACTAGAACCCGGTGTGCCGGCGCCACAAGGTGGAGGATTAGCCTATTGAGCTGCAGTGCCAGCCTAGAGAGAGAGAATTAATATCCCTTGAACACTCTTCAAATACCTGCAAAGGTCAGAGCTGGACCAGGCTGAAAATGGGATCCAGAAATTTAATCTGATTTTCTCACTTGGGTGGGAGAAACATAATTACTTGAGCCATCACTTGCACCTTTCAGCATCTACCCTAGCAGGAAGCTGGAATTGAGAAACAAACCCAGGTTCTCTGATGTCGGATATACGTGCATTCATTAGGCTATATGCAAACTCCATTGATCTATATTAAAACTATCCACACTCTGGAAACCATCGTAAGCCTACAAGAAATGTTTAAAATATGCTGTTTTCAAGATGTGTATATTGGGGCCAGTGTTGTAGTGTACTGCCACCTGTGCTGGCATGTCATATGGGTACCTGTTTGAGTCTCGGCTGCTCCTCTTCTTATCTAAAACCCTGCTAATGGCCTGGGAAAAGCAGTGGAAGATGGCCCAAGTGACGGGGTCCTTGCCACCCACATGGGAGACCCAGATGAAGCTCCTGGTTCCTGGCTTCAGCTTGGCTCAGCCCTTGCTGCCGCAACCACTTGATGAGTGAATCAGCAGTTAGAAGATATCTCTCATCTCTGTCTTACCCTCTCTTTTTGAAATTCTTTCAAATAAATAAATAAATATTTTTAAAAATAATGTTCATATTCAAATGTACATATAAACACTTGCTTTTAAAACTGGAGTCAAATTAAAGAAATATAAACATCAAAAACAAAAAAAAATTTAAAATTGTTTTTGAGGATTATTTGCATGACTGTACAACTAATGCATTGTTTTATGGGTAGAACAAAAATGATACTTAGTAAATGAATTGGCTTTTTGAGTAACAAGGGCATAAAACACAGAGAAAATATGATCACAGAAATAAAATAAAAAAATTCCTTAATTTTATCATTTACCTCAAAATATGTAATTAGTTATTATTATAAAGATAGTTATTTTGATATACAATTTCAGCTTGAAATTCAATTAAATGGTTTTTGATGGTATGTCTAGAAATGGTAATATATTAGATTTGGACATATTATTAAAAGTGAAACATGATTTTGATTGATTTCTATCAGTTAACTGTTTTACAGCTAAATATACAGCCTTAAACAAATTTTTATCCCTTAATGTGATTTCATGAAAAAAATTTCTTATATTTTTCTTTTCAGCCATATCCAATATAAAATTGCCATTCACTTCCTCCTTTTAGACTTTTGTATATCTTCTTGGATATACATCCAAAAAACAGCAAAAGCAAGGTGTCTCTGTCCTTCATCCATATATCTCCAAGAAGCACTGCAAAATAATTCTCTGTTATGTCTCCACAATAAGTAATAAGACTTTCATTTGAGCTGTGCCCTTGCTATACTTGGAGAAAGAAATTTTCTTGTCTGTGAAGATGGAAGATTCTGAACCAATTGGCCTTGATAAATTGCTGGTTTATTGCCATCAGATATTACCCACTTTATTCAGCCACACCTCTTCACGACTGCTACTCTTCATCAAACCTAAGAGTAAAAGTACAATTTATACTGTATTTTTTGATCTGCATTTCCTTTCTTTTAAAAAAAATACTTTTATTTTATTTGGAAGGGAGAAAGGAAAGGATCTTCCATCTGCTGGTTTACTTCCCAAAATGCCTGCAACAGTCAGGGCTGGGCCAGGCCACAGCCAGGAGACCAGCACTCAGCCAATCACTCAGGTAGGTGGTAGGGACCCACGTACTTGAGCTGTGTCCTGCTATCTCCTAGAATGTGCATTATAGGATTTTAGATCAGAAGCAGAGGAGCTAGTACTTGAACCAGACATTCTGAATGGGATACCGGCATCCAAATCAGTGACTTGATCACTGTATCACATTCCCACCCCTGTTCTTTTCCTTTTGAAGGTTCTTACATCAATTAAAATAAAATATACACTTTTCTCCTGTTAATGTTTTCCTATTATGAGGGCCTTGATGATAAAACTTGTGATGGGTAAAGACTTTTTTTTTCTACACTGCAAAATAAGACCTAGACCAGGAGTCAGGAAATTATGCCATATGGGCCAAATTCCATCATTTATTCTTTTCTAGATGCTTTTGTTGGAATAAATTCAGACCTATTTGATTATGTTTGTCTAGGGATGGTTGCTTTAGTGCTGTGATAGCAAAGTGAAGTAATTTTGATAGAGAATGTACAAATATCCTGCACTTTAGAAAAGTTTGCTAACCCCTCTTCTTGGTTAAAACTTAAAATTTTCTCCCCTCATATGTCTTAAAATCCTATCAAAATAACTCTTCAGGGATTAAATGTATGTGATTTCGTTCTACTTTCTGGTATTTTAGCATATGCAGAAAGTCTTTATTTAACTGAAACTATTCCTTCATTCCTGAAACCATACCTTATAACATGTACTTTTGCAAATTATGGTATTTCTTTCATTCTGCTTGGTGTTAAAATTCTGTTGTACATGTTTCTCATCCCTTACAACTTTATTACCTGTTGGCATTCATTGCTAAGAATTACTTATCTTGATATCCTTATCAAAATTTAGAACATAAGAATTTTTCTTTTAGAGCCTATGGAGGTTTTAGAGTTTAAAGTATTTCACACTAGAAGGAACCGAAGAAAAGCAAGTGGATTGAACAATCCATTGAACAATGGAAGGAAGAGAGGGAAGAATGGGGAGTGGAGGAGGCCACAGGTGCTGTGGAAAGCATTTGACTATTTACAATTTGATTTGACTAGAATCAAAAGATTTTGCCTAATTAATACTTGGCAGCACTATCACCATTTCATGAACAGCACCACAAGAAATATTGCTTTTGTATGTATCATTATTTCCTTGATTATTAATCTTTATATTTCCAAAAGGAATATAACATGTTTGTACTAGAAGTATGGCAATAAAAATGTAAGAATAAAATTACACGAAAAGGCATTTGCCCTAGTGTTTAAGACACTGGTTAAGATGCCTATGTCTGTGTCTGATACCAGCATCCCGTGTTGGAGGACTGATTTGCTTCTGATCCTGCTCACTTGCAATACACCTGGGAAAGCAGCAGAAATTAGCTTAAGTTCTCAGGCCCCTGACTCCTACCTAGGAGACCTGGATGAAGTTATTGGATGCTGGCTTTGACTTGAAACAGTCCTGGCCATTGCAGGCATTTGAGGAGTGAATTAGCAGATAGAAAAACTCTCTCTCTGTTCAATCCCTCTCCACTGTCACGCTTCCTTTCAAATATACATATAAATATTTTCCAAATCAGAGAACTTGAGTTCAATTTCTCGTTCTGGCAACAAATTCTAACTGAATGCCATTGCAGATGCTGAAGGCAAATAGTTGTATCTCTGCTTCCAATATATGAGACCCAGATTGAGTTCTTGGCTCCTGATTCCAGATCCAGCTCAGCCCCATCCAATTCAATGAAGGCAAGTGGAGAATGAATCAGCAAATGGGAGTTACCGCTTTTTCTCTTGAATGATTTTTAATGAATTACAAATAGAGTTATAGTAACAAGGTTATGAAAATTTTACAAAAGATTCTACCATAAAATTTGTACCGATAAAATATATAATGGGCATTAAATTTATTTCTCATCTTTTATGCAAGCAAGAGGAGACATAAAAAGACAGTTAATATTTCTTCTAGGAGATGTCCATAAAAATGTATAATTTATTCATTGATGCTATATTCGAAAAACAGGACAGAAATTATATTCTTTTACTGGTTGTTTCCAAACAGAAAGCCTGACTGAGGAAATGGATAAATCTAACACTTTCATTCAATTTTATTTCTAAGAGAAACCTTAGTTTTGCATGGAAACTGAGCAGAAAAAACAAAAAGTTCCCATACACACCAATACCACCTGCATTCACAGTTTTCCAAGTTAACTTTCTGCATTGGTGTGGTGTATTTGTTACAACATATGGAACAATTTTAAAGCTATTATTACATAAATCCTATGGTTCACATTGTGACTGACTCTGTATTGTACAGTCCTAATTTTAAAAGAAATGCATAATGCCATGCATCCATCATTGCAGTAAAATAAAGAATAGGAAAAGTACCCTAAATCTGCCCTGTGTTCCACCTATTAATTTCTCCCCTCCTATTACTAAACATCAGGAAACAACATAGCTTTTTTATTGTCCCTGAAACTTTGCCTTTACCAGAATGTGTCATATAGTTGGAATCATGTAGAATGTAGCTATAGGGGAAAAAAACATAATATCTCTTCCTCGTTTATTGCAATGGTCATGACTGAAAAACCCTTATAACAAAAGACAGATTGACAAGAGACAGATTTATTTAATGCACGTTTTACATGATACAAAAACCTGCAGGAACAAAGTCCTCAAAACCCAAAGAAAATTTCTCATTTTTATTATTAGCTGATGAAAGAAATACATAGTTTTGGAGAAACATGATTGGGAAAAAAAGATGGAACATATTGGAAACAAAGTAGAGGAGCTCAGTAAGATCTGTTTTTTCAGTTTCCTTTTTGTGTCTTCTTTCAAAAGTCCTACTACTTAAGTATGAGGCTGGACAGATTCATATGAGGAACTCCAAGGGGAAAGAGAAGCGATTAGAGAATGAATTTCCTAGGTTTTCTGATTTCCTGTGGGGTAATGGAGTACTACCTTCTGTAATCTGCCTTGGGGAAGAGATATGAGAAAGATAATGGAAGGAGAGATAACTTGTTTAAAAAATATTAATTTTTTTCTTTAACATTTTAAAGGTGAACAAATTTCATGTATTTAATATATGTAGTTGTAGGAGCATAGTAATACTTTTCAGCCTAGCTTCTCTGGACATTTTTAGAACGCACGATGCACTGTTTCAATACATGTATATAGCACCAGTGCTTTTGAGATCTTTCAAATCTCCTTCATTTTCAAGGATGCAGCCTGTCAGTGCACCAAACTTGTGGTCTCATATTCTGGGCCCCAACCAACTTTTTTAGGCTGCCCTCTGTTAAACAAGAATATTATGACAAATTGAGTTTTGTAGATTTTAATTGACTTTATTTTCAACTTAAAAATTGAACCTAAAACGGTTCACTGTCTTGGCAGACGATGTTTATAGCTTACAAAAAATTGAAGCAAGGTACAAAGAACACCCAGTTAGCTATAGTTCTCATCTGTCCCTGTTGAACCAGGTTTGAACTGATGGCCACTTGAGAATGACTGAGACTGAGTTCCTTTTGAAAGAGTAGGTTACAATCTATTCACATATCAAAGAGGTTCATTAAGTATGAAGAAATCTTAAGACCAAATATAAAATATGTGATCACTGCTTATTTTCATTCATCATTTAGTTATTGTGTAAGTAGTCATAAATTTTATTTACCACCTGCTATGTGATGACCCCTACAGCTCATATTAAATAATGAGGAAATTATATTAAACAGTTTCACATTTGATCTTGGCCAAATGGTGGAGTAGCGATTGTAATTGGAAGTATTAAAATTTCTTTTCAATGTACTTCAATGTTAGCAGAACTATTTTTAGATGTCTGACAGAATTTAATTTTTTGATCAGAGTTTGCTGGAAACATGATTTAGATCATGGCTTGAGAAGGGAAGAGAATCACCTATCAATGACTAGGTATATTAGTCTTCTGTTAATGCTGTAATTATACATGTTAGTGGCTACAACAAACATAAATCTGCTATTTTCCAGTTTTCTATAGCAGAATCCTGGCACAGGTCTAAAATAGATAAAATAAAGGAGTCATTAACGTAGTATTCTTTATTATGGGATCCCTATTTTGTGGTTATAGGACTGAGGTCCCAGTTTTCTTAAATGATGTCAGCTGATAATCATTCTCATTCCTTAGAAGCTTTCTGGACTTACTCATTGTCAATGGTAGCAATGGTGGGTTGAATCCTTCTCACGGCTCATGTCTCTGACCCACTCTTTTTTTCCCCTCTTCCACTTTTAAGGATTCATTTAATTATTTTGGTCAACCTGGATAAATTAGGATAATTTCTGCACCCCAAATCTCTTCATCATAAAATTCCTTTATCTGTTAAAGGTAATAGAATTAATAGAATCCAGCGATCAGAGCACAGATGATTGCTGTTTGTTTGATTTTTTGTGTTTGGAAAGGGTGGAGAGATCATTCTACCTTCCTTACAAGGTACTGAGGTCAGAAGAATTAAAGTCAAGTATGAAAATATTTAACTCAAGGTGAAGAAAAATATCTATATTTTCAATATCAAACTTTATTGTGACTCGGATAAGTAAAGAATTTAGGTTACTTATGGGCATTCAAAATATTTTCAACGTAAAAGAAAATGCTTTTCTCCATATTAATTGTTCCCCAGTTACTTAAAAAGCTCTTTATATGTAACATATCTATTCTTTTAAATATTCTTGAGACTAAAAAAATGCTATGTAGAATTGTTAGCATTTAAAAATTCCCTTTTCCTAAAACATGTAAAAATAATAGTTTCATTGAAGAGTCTGCAGTGCCTGTATCATGTGAAATTTTTTGTAGGAACGCCTAGCACTATGTTGAATATTATTTGAAAAACAGCACGACGTAGGGATAGGCAGAGTTTTTGGTTTCAGGTGAATAAAGGTGTCATAATTTGATTGTAATTCCTAGAATACTTTGTTATCATCATTTGTTTATTTGACAGTGTATATGGTTATAATTTAGACTTGAAATTATTGTTAATATGTTTCCTGTCAACAATAAGTATATTTCTTATTCTTTCATTAATGTTTCCAGTAAACTTGCACATTTCTTGAAGTGTGCTAAGCACCCAGATTTTGCTTAAATTGAATTTAAAGGCACAAAAAGGTCACTATTTTTCTTTTGTTAGGTTTTACTAGTTTCCAAAAAAAAACTATTATATTAGCCTGGCTAAATACCTATTAGTGTATTTTTTGTTTTATAAAGAGAAATAACCTCAAGGATCCAGTTTCATTTTCATTTAACCTGTTTTATTACTTTTTTGTATGCAGTGGTATTTTTTAGGATAAAAAGGAACCCTTTTTAAAAATAGCAGAATTTGGATGCTAAAAATTTAACAAACCAAAGAATGTCACAAGTGCGTAAAAAATGTGAGTGTAATAAAATATTCCTACACATTTATAATGGTGTTAAGTAAACTTTTATTTATCTATTAAGTTCAAACATGGTAATTTCAGAAATTTTATAGCAAGCCCTAGAGTGTATATCGTTGAAGCTGTAACTCCAATCAGCTTCAGTAAAAATAGCATACAATTGTTAGTGGATTACATGTCCAACAATCCACTCATATGTTTTTTTTTTTTTCAATAAAAATCAAAGATAGTCTAAAGAGCTTCCTATCAATAGTAATACTGAGGGTTCATTTTGTCCATCTTGGGAATTCTCATGCTGCTCTGATTGGTGATCAGAATCTAGAAAATGCGTTCATCCTGTTGTATGGTGAGCTCCATCCACTTTGAAACATCAGGTATACAGTTCTCCCTGCATTGGGGATTCTCCAATTGTACATAGGCAAAATCTGATTGCAAATCTTTTTGAAAGGGACAGTAACTAAAGAGGTTACCCTCAATATAAATGTGATTAATCCTGTATTATAGATTCAAAAGATAAAACCAAAGCTGACCATCAGGAGCAAATTGAATGAAGGACTTTAAATCTCCAGTCATTTTGTCTCCTAAATATTCTCAGTTCCCTTCTTCTCCACTCTTCCCCCATGTCCTTCCTGTCACCTCTTGAGTTCTGATTCCTCCTCATTTTCTCCTGGGATTATTTTTTCTCTTTTATTACAAGCATAGTACTCTATACTGAGGATCAGTAATATCAAATAACATCACAAACTAGAGCACTGATCTCCATGTTTCCAAGTATAGGAAATAAGTTTGTACTTAAAAACATTCTACTGGTTGATTTGCTAGGCCTGGATTACCAAGCTTTTTCTGTAAAAGTCCAGATAGTAGACGTTTTTAGCTTTGCATGTCACATTGACATTGCAGTGGCTACTCAATTCTACTGTGATTAGGAGAGAGTAGTTGTAGGTAATATATAAATAAATGATACGTCTATATTCCAATAAACTTTCTTTACAAAAACAAGGAAGACCAGGGCAAATCCAAAAGCCATAGTCTGAGAGTATGAGATAGAGTTAAACATCCATTATCTTCCCTAGTGGTTTCTTTTTATTATTATTACTATGACTCAGATATCTGAAAGGCTTTTCAAGGTTACGTGTTGATGTTTCAGGTTAATAATTGGTTTGAATTGCTTAGATAACTCTAACTCTTCTGATGTGATGTGTCACCACAACAGATCACTTCTTCATATCAATCTATTCTCAATCAATAGATAGACAGTAAATAGAAGTCTTATTTGAAATACTATGTATTCCTTCTTAGTTTCATTTATACATTGCTATATTTTAATGCCAAAAACAGTTCTAGTTTATTTCCTGTTGTGGCTGTCTTACACTTCTCAGTGCTTTTAGATTTTTGTATGAAAAAAAATTCCATTTGAATTTAAAGCTTGAACTAGTATCAAAACTCGTTTTCATCTGCTTCTGATATTATTTTCTGTGTGAAGTTTCTTGCAAACAAATTCTTTTGGTTGACTCAGAAATTCCTGACATGCTGCTTTTTCTCAACATGGTGCACCTACTTGGTCTGTTACTTCCTTGATGCTTTCTGGGACTGACACTTAATTACTTATTTAACTGTCAATCTAGAAGGTTGATTGGTTTGTTGACATTTTTTAGTTTTCATATGTTGCCATCAATTTCTAGGCCATTCCTAGAAACAGACTACCTAGTAACAATTTATTAATATATGTTCCTATTCTAACTCTGCTTTGTACCTATGACATCTATGATATGTGAAATTTCATACCCTAAAAATAGGCAGTGTTCAGGTGAACATTGAACAGACATATAAATGCATGATATTTCCTGATCTTCTTTGGCTGGGATGGAATAAAGTAGATTTCAAGAGGCTAGTCATGATACCTACCTCTCCTCTTCCATTTTCTGAAGGAAACCCATGTATTCCCAAATGTCTACTGAGAAAGCGATCCTAAACAGAATTAGATACTTACTACCAAGTGAGACTGGCAACATGGTTAGAGCCAGGTTGGCAACTGACCTGATCAAGACAAAAATAGGAGCTTATCAGTGACAGTCAGCTGTAAATGAAAGCTCTGCCTAATAGAGAAGATAATAGAATCAGCAAATGTCCCCACCCCTGGAATTTAACTAGAAATATGCCTAGAGGGTTATTCAGTATCTTTTAGAGAAAGAGTATAAGGAGATTCAAAATTAGGCAGTGAATTATGAAATCACATGAATGCAGTGCCTCAGAATGAAGCCCAACACCTCCTGCTTGTATTAGAGGACTCCAATAATGCCTGAAATCTAACTGCCTTGCATCTGGAAATTTTTTTAAAGCTGTAAACTGCGTTTCCATTTCCATGAGACCTGAATGGCCGTCTCGGTTTCCACTCATTTTCAAGTTTCTTGTATTGAAATGTGCTGCCTTAAAATAACCTAAAAAATAGAATAACTAATACTTGCCCACCAAATAAAAACAAACAAATCAACCAAGCAATAACAAAACAGGAGAAACAACTTTTGTAATAGAGTGCTAAGAGAACACAACCTTCTTAAAATAGGTTTGCTGATTTTTACTTCATTTTCTGCCTATGTACTTAAAAGTGCACTACAAATAGAGAGATTTTGAATAGTTAACAATATTGCATTAGAGCTATATAATGTTTGGAACACTCTGCCGTTATGAGGCTATTCAAAAAGCGTTATTAGAAATGAACAGAACAGTGAAGGTAATTAGTTGAGTATTACCTTTAATAGATATTAATTTTATTTAGATCTGTTAAGTGCAGGTAATTTGGTGGATGCTGTGAATGATAATAGAAAACATGAGTAAGTTGGAAATAAGCAAAACTTGTATTTTTAATGAACAAAAGAGATTGAATTTTAATGAATATGGGAGGAATGGCTAATTTTGTAGAAAGCTGGTACAATCCTTTTAATATATTCTGGCATTGTACATGTAAAGTTCATAAAGCTACACAGATGCTTCTAATTAACTTGATTACAAGTACCAGTTTTATATATTTAAAAGGTGGCTTCTTTGTTGTGTTAAAGAGAAAGCAAAATTTCTTACTGAAACACCAAAATAAAGTTTTTCTATTCATTTCAATCTATGATATGTAAGAAATGAGGCCCTTATCTAGAATATTTCTTGATTTTCAATTATTCAGTAGTATCCTGGATTTCTATAGTGATGCATCATCTACAGGGATAGCATCATCTCCAATTACCTTGATATGAAACTATCACTGGGAAAACAAATGATCAATATTTATTTTCTATGTGTTAAGAGTCATTAACATCTTATTGTTGTTTTTAAGAGGTTCTAAATTATAAATAATTTTCACATGAGCAAAGATGTGATTTTTTCTAATTATGAGAGATTTGACTTCAGCAGTTCTATTTATAAAACTCATATTCAAATAAATTTGCAATAGCATCAATAACATTTATCAATGCCATTACAACAACCAGCTAATATGGGGCAATGGAATCTGAGTTACTATTTGTCAGAAATTCATACTTGCACAGACACTGTATACTGTATTATTTTCTGTTAAAAAGGAAGCGAGCACATATCACCAAATTTAGATGTGCCAGTTGCTGACATCATTGTTACATAATTAACTAACATTCCTCTCTTCTAAGCCAGTTGAAGGGAAAAACTATTCCATTAGTACTGGCATATGGAGTGCTTGTTAAATTAACATTTCCCCATGCATCATCAAAAATGAAAGATACAGCTCTTTTTTTTTCTCACCTCAGTTTACGCCTTCATCTTTTGCAGTAGATAGTCATTTAATTTAAGTTTTGATTGGAGATTATGTTGCAATGGAAAGGTTTTCTGGTTATAAGTTAGGTTGTGCAGCTCAGGATTCAGATAACAAAACATTTTTAAAACTAGCTGTGTATTATGGAGTTCTTAGTTTAACATAACACATCTTGCTTTACTAACTGGATATTTAGTCATCCAATGACAGCACTAATTGAGGAAACATTATTTCATAACTGTCACGGGATAAAGAAATTCTCTTGATCTAATTTTTAGTTTTGTTTCTCCTTTCTGAGAGAAAAAAAATCCAGTTTAAGATCACTGGCATATGATTTCTTTAGACTTACATTTTAGGTTCAACTTCTACAGCTTAGTATTTTTTGGACATTTTCTAGCAAAGGCCAAGGCATGTCAGTTTCCTGAATTGTCATTTGCTTTTTGGTTGCTTCATCTTCTCAGCCCAGTTTTCTGCGTTTAATGATTTCTAGATTTAGGTTGAATCACTATTATTTTTAAATATACTTGTCAGATTCCATGTGTTAACATGTTTTCATAGATTTAAACAATATATTTGTTAATTTACTATTTTTGCATGCTGAAATGAAAGGGAAGAATATCTAAAAATGTGAAATGGCAATATATAGTAATAATATGTGATACTAATAACTTATATTTCAGTAAATGATCTTCATCTTTGTAATATTTTAATACTTTGTCTATAGTCACATGTAGGTGGTTTTTGCTTAAATTTTATGTGATAACTAGACTGTACTAGTGGTATTGAGAAAGAATAGGTTCTTGAAAACACTTGTGAATATCTTTTTAAGTGTAATCTCTTGAAAGGTTACATTTATTTAAAAAAAAATGACACTTGCCCAGAGTCTTTGGCCAGATTAGAGCTGTGAGCTATAGTAACAGCATTTTCCATGTGCTATATACACATACAATTTAGTAATCTTTGTAATATAGCTTTCAAAGTATAGATTTATTTTTTGGTGCGGTGTTCTCTTTTGACAATTATAAAGTATGCTGCCAAAGTGAGAGGCTGGAGAGACTGCTTTTTTTTTTTTTTTTTTTTTTTTTAACAGATGAAAGTGTCGTACCTCTTGGCAACCTCAAGTATTGAAACCAGTTGTTTATTTTCCAAAGGGTATTAGCTGTCTAGATCAGATAACATCTGGGCTCTGACATTTACTCAGGTTAATAATTGGCTCTAAGTGTAAATTTAAGTATTTACTTTGATCTTTGAGTATCACTATACTTTCATTTTTGGCTACATCAAACCACATTTCTACTTGAAGACACCTACTCCATCTTGGAAGCTTCAATGTAAAGAGAAAGCAGGGTGAGGACAGAAAAACAAATAATAATAAAGTACCTATAGGCTAATCCTAGGAGTGGATTTATGATTTCACTGGTGTTCCCAGAGTAGTAATTCTTAAGCTTTTTTGAAGATATAATTCCTTTGTGAATACGAAAGCTACAGAACCAAGCTGTAGAAATACAAAAGGAGCTACACAGACTTATTATTATTAAACATTCTAGGATACATATTAAGAATACAAAAACCAGATTAAGTTAAATTTAATAATGCATTTGATGTACAAAATTTAAATAACTCAAAATTTAACCAATCTAAAAATAACTTCAAGTATGTTTGTATGGTCTTTTATCTTAATTCTTTACAATCTGATTGATAATGACTATGTGATTACCTTGTCTCTCAGTTCAGACACTAAATTTTGGAGGACATTCTTGACATGAATTTATACATCATAAAATCTACAATTCATGGGTGAGAGTTTGGCCTGGCAGTCAAAATTCTGGGGATACCTGCTCCCATTCAGAGTTTTGGGGTTTGGGTTCGATCTTTGCTCCTGATTCTAGCTTCCTGGGAGACAGCATAACCTGGGAGGCAGCAGGTGATGTCTCAAGTAATTGCATCTCTGCCACCCACATTAGCGATCTGGATTGAGTTCTCACTTACCCGCTTCAGCCATGGCCCAGCCTCAGCTGTAGCGGGTATTTGGGGAGCAAATTGATGAACAGGAGCTATCTGTCCCTGTATCTCCGTAGCTTAGACTACTGGTTTGGGGTACAGTGCCCTCTAGAGGTCAAGATCTCTAGTGGTAGTGCCGCCAAGTTCACTTAGGGCACTGGGAAATGCCATATATATATATATATATATATATATATATATATTTGCCTCCTTGTGGGCTAGCACCTTCACAACAACAGCACTGCTCTCGGGGCCCCTTTTCCCTACATGTGTATGCACACAGAACAATTTAGAGAGAAAGAGACCTACTGAATGTGAAGAACTCTCCCATTAATTATGGAAAAGAAATATTAACAATCCTTAAGGCAGTAGAGGAAACTTTAAAAGTGGTTGTCATTCACTGCAGGGGACACCAGAAGGAAGATAGCCATGTTTGCAAAGGAAATGCACTATCAAGGCAGCAAAAGGAGCTTCTGCCCAGGAGGTTTTCTAAATAGCTTTAGTACCTCTGCCCATGGGATAGGTAAAAATCCTTACTATACTGATTTTAAAATAGACTGGGCTCAACAAGAAGATTATACTAAAGATGCCACTGGATGGTGGACTTTAGATCAAAGAGTTCTGCTCCCAGTGGTCTCTAAATGGAAGATTAGTAAGGTAATACACAACTATAATGCAAATACTTTCTCAGGTATTTTCAGGGAAAGGACTGCACACTGTCATAAAGGAAGTAACTCATTCCTGTCCTGTCTGGGAAATAATCCTGATGGTCACATCAAGCTACCTCCTTCACTGTCTCCTGTGCAAAGGAAAGAGACACATCCAGGTGAAGACTGGCAAACACACTTCACTAACACGCCTTCAGCAAATAATTTCAAATATCCGCTGGCCATTATTGATTCTTTCTCAAGACAGATAGAAGCTTTTTCAAATCAAACAGAAAAGGCACAAGAAGTATGTAAAGCCTTGATAGACATAATCCCTCACTTTGGCCTTCCAAGGTCACCCTGGCTTGAGAATGGACCTTAATGTATGTCTAACATAAATCAAAAAATAGCTACTGCTCTGGAATGCCTTATAATCTCCATGTCTCTTTGAGACCTCAGTCATCAGGTAAAATCGAAAAAGTTAATCATAGTCTTAAGCAAATTCTTGCTAGGCTTTGCAAAGGATCCTCATAGACATAGCTTAATCTATTGTATTTTGCTTTCTGTAGGTTGAGAATGGTAGTCTTCAATAAAACTTAGTCCTTTTGAAGTGTACT